CATTTTAATAATATTTATCATGTGAACCAACTGAGGTTCTGAGATAAGAGAGCCTTATTCAGCACAGAATGAGCCAGCACAAAGCTAGAGAGACTGTCCAGCACAGGGAGGTCGTCCCCTAGATTTAAATGAATCATCAAAAGGAAGAAGATTCACACATACAGCTGAATACAGACTGTGGTAGGAAAAACACGTAAAATAATAGGAACTTTTTTCTAATATTAAACATCCTTCATTTTTCTTTGATATTTGGTCTTGGTTAATGGGTACAAAAAGGTAGAATAATTGATTTCGTTAGTTGCTAAGCAGGTGTCAGTTGCCTCACTGAGCTATCACGTTTGTATTTCATCTCATTTTCCTGAGTATTTTGTTTGGTTTGCATGAAGAAGCTCATATTGTAGTCACATAATTATTTACAAGGGATATCCTATTGAATTTGATTATTTGTAATTCCATCTTTCTTATGTTGTATTATATAATAAAATGGTTTCAGCATTTGAGAAGATAAGAATTTGTGGCCTTCCTGGTGTCTATGTTTTTAAGTAGAAAGGTTGCTTATTTTTCATCAGTTAGTGTAATTTTGATGTACACATTAAAGAAATAGTTTTAGCGCTGGGATATAGCTGAGTGGAACAGTTCCTGCCTGGCAAGTATGAGGCCCTGAGTTTGATTCCCAGTAGTGTGTGTGTGTGTGTGTGTGTGTGTGTGTGTGTGAGAGAGAGAGAGAGAGAGAGAGAGAGAGAGAGAGAAAGAGAGAGAGAGAGAGAGAGAGAACTTTCAAGATTTTCTTCAGATAGAATCTTTCTCTTATTTTTGTGCATTTTGCACCCACCAAAGCCTGTGTTGTAGTTTCAAGTATTATTTTCTACCAACTGGCTTCCCTCTAGAATAAAGAAATCTTTAAAGTCATTTTTAAAGCACAGACAAAATGCAAAATATTTATATCAAAATTGTCATTGCTGTCAGTGTTAGTCAGGTAGTGAGGGCTAGTCCACCATTACTGGCCATCTGATCTATAAACGTGGTGAAACAGACAAAAAAAATTGAAAATTTAAGGAGGCTTCTGAGATGGGAAAGTGCTCTTCAAATTCTTTAAAAATGTGTGGGCTTTGGGCCAACTGTACATTAAATACTGAGTAAGTTATCATTGATATCTCACTTGGGAAATTTGAGATCAAAAATATTACATGATTGTTTTAGATGCCCTAAGACACTGACAGTTCATAGGCTCAACTTAAGCTAATTGTACTTTAGTGGTTGTTGGTACTTCAGTTGATTAATTTGAAATTGGCATCTCCAAAACTGAGAGACCTTTGAGCTAGCATGTGTGTGTACGCAAACATCCGCACCCACATACGCACCGCCCCCCCCACACAGTCATTAATAAAATGGATTTGCTGGAGTCACCTAAACGCTAAAGGAAAATCACATCTATTATGTTCAACCCTAATGCAGTAACATTTAAACCAGTTTATTGTTGAAACAATGATGAAATGTTAGAACTTTGATTCAAGGGATGGAAAGTCACCTACAAATGGCAATATTGGTGACACCACACTGCTGAAAGCTTTGCATTGCTTCCAACCACCAAACTGTCCAAAGACAAGACTTTGTGTTTGGTCTTCAAAAATGTGGACAAATTTGGTGGCATCAGAACTGTCTCTATGGTCCAAGTGAAGATGGGTCTTCTCAAATTTGGCATGGTGGTAACATTTGCTCCAGTGTCACAACTGAAGTAAAGTCTGTTCAAATGCACCGTAAGGTTCAAGTGAGTTTCTTCCTGGGGATAAGGTAGTCTTCAAGGACAAAAGACGTACATGTCAAAGATAGTTATTTTGGCAATATTATAAGTGACAGAAACCATTACCCACCAATAGAAGCATGTGGCCTTGTAACTGAAAGGTATTAATGAATTTTTAAGAAATTAGGAGACTTTAAAAAGGTACAGTACTTCTCTAGTTTTCTCATGCTGAGATTATAATCTACCCCCTTTACCCATCAACTTAGACAACTTGATTAGCAGAGAAGTAATGTCAGAAGGTAACATTTTCATCTGATGCAGATGCTGGCTCGAGTGGTTGAGGTGTAGTTTCATTTTGAGGAGGACAGGGTGAGCCGATAATGCCTGAGAAACAAAACAGTATGCGATTTTTATTATTCAGTGTGTCATCTTGTTCCTCTACTCCTCTTTACACTAAGTGCCCTTGTACACCTGAATCAGCAAAGAAGCCTCCTTAGCTCCTTCAGAGCTAGCTTTGAATAAACATTTTTCTTTCCACCAAAAATAAGTTTTTCTCCAAAATCTTTGGAGCATTAGTTGATAGTATAGATTTGAAGCTCTGGTAACAGTGTTAGTGTTGCCAAGAAGGGGAAAAAAAATACGAGTCTTGATGGCATAGCTGGATTTCCACCAAGAGGCAGCAGTCACTTGGGAAAGGAGACTTAACCGCTGATGTCTGGCTAATTTCATGACGTGGATTTCAGGAATGTCTGGCAGCTTCAAAATGACACCTTACTCTTGAGACTCTCTGTTCTTTCACATTGCTCACAACAGTGACCTATGAACACCTCGCACGAGAAAGAAAAAGATTTTGGTTTCAGGGGAGCCGATGGACTCCATCAGGGTATCACACAGAGTGTGTACAATAGAGATCTTCAATCGTTACCATTTTTGACTTTTTAAATTTTTGTTTGGGTCACCTTATAGTAGTGGTTCATGTGAGCTGAGCTATCTTTATTGTTTGGGGTTTAGGTAACCATCCCTCCCACAAGGCATTTTAAGGTACTGATGAGTTTGGGATAAGATTCAGAGGGTTAAATTTCCCAGCCGAATTTTGTTTGCTTGCCTGGAGAGTATCTTTTGTTTTGTGTTTATTTGTTTTCTTTTTTGTTTGCATTTGTTTTTCTTTCCTTATAACCAACTTTATTTCTAGGGTGAACAGCTGAGCTTTGTCACTGTTACCTGATTCTAGGGTACTGGGAACACTTTCTAGAGGAATTTTCTAGGTTATTTTTGTCCTGAACAAAGAAAGAGATAAGATAGAAAAAACAAGTAGAGAGGTTTTACATTAATTGAAGTTTGGAAAATAAATATGTTCTGCAGAGTGAGTCCAGGCCAATTGAGGTAGAGAAAGGAGTATAGTCTCTGGGGTAAGAGCACATCATTGTGAAACAGAGACTCATCATTTAAGCCTCTGAAATGATACTGAGCATAGAAAATGAATCTATCATATTTTGATACTTTTGTAGATGCCCTAAATTTAGGGTGGAGACATTGAAAAAGTATAATAGTACGGCCAAATTTTAAGAAAAATCTCCTAAGAATAGAAGTAAAGCAAGAGTATAATTGTTTTTTCAAAATAGCGTTTCACCAGGGGTTTAAAAATGTTTTCCAATATATTAAAATTTAGACACAGCTAGCCAAAAGTTTGCACATTTTATCTTTTTCTTTATTGCCCAAGGCCTCTAGTTTAATCTAACACCAAAAATCAAAGACAAGCCCATAGGAAAAAAAAAAGCATTTAAGGATATCAAATATTCCACACTAAGAGAATCACAAAGCCAAACTAATCTGGTTTAAGATTCTGACTCCCTATGGGCTTAGGGGCTGTGGGCTCACATTAAATAGGAAGCTGCTTGGCCAAACAAAGCATCTTGTCTAGTCATAGAAGAAAAACATTTTTGTACCTTACATTCATATAATGAAGGAGGCTCAGTTTCACAGGAATGCTCTTTGTCTTTCTTTGACATCGCTGAGGTTTTATGTTTTTTCTACCACCCTGGTTGTTGTTGCTGAATTTGTTCCATTTATGCTTTTCTTACTCATTAGGTATTGCCATGTTGCTTGTTTTCCATTTTGACCAGGGAGTCCATGGTCCTTCATGAAACTGGGTGCTTGTAAGAATAGTCATAGTGCACGTATTGCTGAGAAATGGTGATAGGTAATTGCTGAAAATACTGAATGTCTTCATACTGATAGAATAATGTGTCCTATTGCTCAAGGCAGAGGCAGGAAATGAGGAGGATTTTTGCTACGTGGATGAACTCTTTCTCCTCACAACTTCATAGGTTAGGAGAGAAATTGCAACCCTTTTTCACAGGAAATGTGAAAATAGTTCAAGCTCATTAGGCATTTAAATTTAATACTCTATAGTGCTTATTTGAAATTACTTTTAAACAGTGGGTCCAGATAAGTGCAGGTTTGCATGTGAGTGTATATCTCTGGGTTTGCATGCTTTTGTAAAAATTAAAATGCTCAGTACTATTCTTAGTATCAGTCATTTGAGAAACAATGATCTTCATGAGGTTGTTATGTAACTGAATGTATGGAGGACCTTCATAATGTGTACATAGGTCCCAGTGCAGACCAAAATATTGAAGTTTTTAAAGAATCCCAACTTAGATATGCATTTATATTCTTGTCTTCTTTTTTTATTAAACAAAAAGAATGAAACCAATAACAATAGAAGAAAATAATAAAGATCAGAAAACACAATCCCTTGTCAAACTGTCAACATATTTCAAGTAGATGAACATTTGATTCTTACATCTCTATAAAAATAAAAGACTCAGAATAGTTTTGTTATCTTCTGTATGTTAGTTTGTAAAGTTAGTTTGTATTGTTTCTTACCTGATAGTCAAGAAGTCAGTTTAAAGTATTTCTGTATTGCAAAATGAGTAAAAGAACATAAACAAATATGTCACCATTTGCATGCTAGCTGGTGAGGTGCTAGTGTTTCCTTCATCAGCTACAAAAGACTTCAAGCTGTTGTGCAACATAAATCATGTCTGGAGAAATCTCAGCTTGGCTTTCTCAGATATTTTCACTAAGAAAATGAAATCATTAGCAAATAGTGATGTTTGCTTGTTCAATGGTGTGTATTTAAGCTTTTAAGGACTTAACTTGCAGCTTTTCAAGACTCAGATGTACATAGCATTTTAGATGAATGCTTTAACAATTCTTTACCTGTGGTATTAGACATTGGGGCATTCTCTTTTAGATGATGGGAGATGTGCAGAAGATATTTACAATAATTTTAAATATGGAATTCATACTTGGATATCTAATAAATGGATTCATAGTCCTAGTGAACTGCACAGACTTGGTAAAGAGGAAAAAGTTATCTTCAGCTGATCAAATCCTCACTGCTTTGGCAATCTCCAGAATGGGTATGTTCTGGTTAGCATTACTTGACTGGTGGATATTTGTTCAGTGCCCAGCTTTGTCGATAACTAGAAGTATATTTAAAATGATTAATATTACCTGGACAATGATCAGTCACTTTAGCCTCTGGTTTGCTACAAGTCTCAGCATCTTTTATTTTTTGAAGGTAGCAAATTTTTCTAACTCTACTTTTCTCTACCTAAAACGAAGAGTTAAAAAGGTGGTTTTGCTGACCTTACTTGTGGCTTCAGTCCTCTTGTTTTTAAATATTATATTTGTAAATGCAGATATTAATGTCATGATTAATGCATATAAAGGAAATTTGTCTTATAGTTCCCATGATGCACAATTTTCCAAACTTCTTCCATTCACTAGGACTATACTCCTGTCCTTTCCCTTTATTGTAAACCTGACAGCTTTCCTCCTGCTCATCTTTTCCCTGATGAAACATTTGAAGAGGATGCAGAGCAATTTCAGAAGATTGGGAGACGCCAGCACCATGGCTCACAAAAAAGCCTTGCAAATCATGATGGCCTCCTTCCTTCTATATACCATTTACTTTCTGTCACTTCTTGTTAAAGTTTGGAATTCTCAGTTATTAATGAAAAACCTCACCTTTTTTCTTAGCCATACAGCTGCTCATGCTTTTCATTTATGTCACTCATGTGTTTTGATTTGGGGGAGTAGTAAACTGAGACAGGCCTGTCGTTCAGTGCTGAGGTGGCTGGGATATGGGTCCAATGATGTAGATCCTTTGGGTCTATAGACCATGTCGAGGATAATCTGGCATATTTCGCAGGAAATTCAGTAACCAAGATATTCTATGCTTATGATATTTTTCCTTTCCAAACACTTTTCTTTTTGTATAAATTAGTGAATTTTAACAAAGCATTGTTTCAAATATGAACTACTGAAAAATACTTTACTATTAGCAAAATATATAAATTACTTTGATATACACAGAAGTATATTGATGCAAGTTGCTGATATGTAAAAAGTTCATAAAACAAGCAATATAATAATTGACAATCATTTGCATTTTTAAAATCTAAACTGGCAATCTAATGTGAAATAAATATGTGTATATATGTATATGAATTGTAGCAACTAAAAGTAAAACTATAATTTTACATACATAAGAATAAAATTTTAATGTAGATGTGGCAAAAATATTAGGTAGGAAGTGAAATAAAAATATATAATTGGAAATAAAGTATACCAGATTTACAATTTTATGACTAAATTTATAAATTAAAAAAATCTCAGAATTACATAATTCCTTCTTTCTAGTTTTTTCTTTTTTCAAATTTTAAAATTTTGAGGACAAATTTTATCATTAGAATGCATTGTGCTAGCTAATGTACTTTTTGGATAGATACCACAATCCATTTTAATTATATTTCACATGAATAGAAAATCTAATAACTTTTAATTATATTCTACATGACTAGAAAATCTAACAGACTTTTAATTTAGTATCATAATGGAAAAGTTACATTTTGTTATGCTGTTTCATTATGTATATGTGCTTTACTAACATAGGTAATGTTCAGGTTATCAGAGGAGCATAAATTTAAATTGTCAACATAAAATTAATATGAACTTATGTTTATATGCTTTAGAATTGATTGTAAGGCAGAAAAATGTAAATAGTGAAATAAATGAAAAATTAATAACAGATGAGAAACAAGAGTAGAGACAAATGATAAGGAAACATGGACAAACACCTCTTGGTCAGTGTTGGGAGCCATTGAAGTTGGAAAATGACCATGTGTGCAAGGCTGGGGGATGGCCATCCCAAGAACAAAAGAGTCTGAGACAAGCCACCATATGAACAAGCTGCTGGAACACCTAGCCCCAACATGTTCTGAACAGTGAGTTGCTAGGACAACAGGCTGTCATGTGACATTAAGTTGTAAGATGCAACGTGCCTGCCGTGAAGGGCAGTTCCTTTCCTCTCATCTGGAGAGTAAGGGCTCCGCCTGACCCCAGCTTTGTTTCTTCTTTATTTTCTCATCCTCTTGTAGTCCTTCACCGAAGGAACCTCAAGGGCCATGTGGGTTGTAGCATATGACACCTGAACATGGACAAGATAAGAGACAGAGGGTGAGGGGGCATTTCTCACTTGCCCACAACTAGGAGGAGAAGTGTATGGAATGTAGGTCAGTATTTATCACTGGAGTGTATTGATATTGACTTCATCAGTTATAAAGATTTGTGCACTGAAAGAAAACCTTATTCTCTAGGGCCACAGTTATAAATGGGCTTGTGAGAAATACTTTCAGGGGGAGAGGAAGAAAGAGGTGAATTGATTTCACTAGTTGTATAATTATGGGACAAACAAGCCCTAAAGAATCACAAAGGGGTGGACCAGAGGTGGAGAGAAGGCCACACCAGAAACAAGTGCAGTCTTAAAACCAGCATCATGCACAGGCCACTGCCAGACTGGAGCAGATAAACCATAGCCTCTCCCTGTGATCATCACCATTTGTGGAGCACTGGTAGAGAGAAGAAGGCCACACCAGGAAGCAGGGCCAGTCTGGGAACCAGCAACATGTCTGAGCCACTGCTGGACTGGAGCACACAGATTTCAGCCTCTCCCTGTGAATCAGTGCCATTTGGGGACCAGGAGTAAAGAGAAGAAGGTCATACTGGGTGTTGTAGTCAGGGGTTGTACACGAGAACAATTCAGATCAGGACATGGAGTTTATAATATTTTTATAATGGTCAACAGAAGTTAACACAGGAGAATGCAGGAAATCCATCCACAACACCAACGACATAGATTATTTAGTCAAGAGTCTAAACCCCATGGCAATGTCCCACATGAGTCCAGATAAAAACCCAGAGCTCAGAACAACGCCTCCACGAGTCCAACTGGAAGTCCAGAGCCCACAAGAAGGACTCACGCCAGTCTCTTTTACGGATTCGTGCCGGGAAGACCCAAGGGTCAGAGGTGGAAGCCAGAAAGTCCATGCCAGCAGGATGAAAGAGCTGTGCTAGTGGGATGAGGGTTCTACACTGGAGCTGAGAAGTCACACTCACAACAAAGAGCGGGGCTGTCCTGAAAGGAACCACAGCTGTCCTCAGCGACACGGAGGCCCCAAGCTCCTCCGATGACAAGCACAGTTGGGAATGTGCCAGGAAGCAGCGTGAGGAGTTCACCCTGGAGACCAGGCAGCACATGTCTTCCCCTCCGGAGCCAGGAAGCAATGCTTGATGTGAAGACCAAAGCTTCTCCAGAACCATCAGCTCAGACAGCAACTTGTAGGAGAACTAACAATGCCTCCATAATGCCTCAATCCCTCTCCACACCTCTCTTCTTCTCCACCTATTTATCCTGGCAACCCTTCTCAGGTGGAGCATCTTCTCTCAATGCATGCTGATGTAATCCAGCTGGCATTAACTTGACCACTAGTTATCAAACCATAACACTGGGAAGCAGACCCAGTCTGGGAATCAGCACCATGTCTGGGCCCCCACCGGACTGGAACAGACAGACCTCAATCCCTTCCAGCTCATGGGTTGGCAAACAAGAAGTACCAACCAAGCCCCTGACCCCTCAGTGTGAGCAATACGTTTATGTAGAGAAACAGGCTATAATGATAACTATGGAGGTGAAATGCAACTGAAAACCTGTGGTGCTTTGGTGATCTAAGGCCAGTAGTCTGATCATAGGTTCAGAGGATAGCAGTGCACAGTGTGGCATCTGGGGGCAGGGGGAATCTCCTTCTGAAAGTTGCAGTCATTGTTGATTCCCTGTGGTCTTGTTTTGGAAGTTCTATATCATTTCCATTGTTTTGTTGGGTTAGGTTTTATTCTCTTTTGTTTTGTTTTATTATGTTAAATCCAATGGCAGGAGCAGCTGTTTCAAAGATAGCAAGAAATATTATGGTAGCAATTTTTGATTTACTATTGGCTTGTTTTGAAGTCCTTTATTGTATTCATTGTTTTGTTTTTATTATTTCTGTTCTATTCTGTTTGATTTTTATTATGTCTGAAGTTATCTGAAGCTACTTTGAAAACATAAGGAGGCATTATGTTACTATTACCGATTCTGTGATGTTTTGAAGTCCTGTCTCTCTTACACTGGTTTGTTTGATTGGTTTTATTCTGTTTTATCCTCTTTAAAATAAAAAAAAAATCACCAATGTATATGGAACTGTTTGTCATATGCTTGATTCTAATCCTTATGTTTCTTTTGTGGATTTTGATTAGGAAGTATCTTAATGATTATAAACCTATTGAATCAGCCATAAGGAAATTGACTTGGAGCCATATTTTAAAATGAAGCCCTGAGCAAGATGGCAGAATAATAGGAACCCCAATAGAGCCCTTAGGCTTTGCTCAATTGAATAAAAAAGGAGAGAGGATAACTTTTATCTACATGAGAAGAGCTTTGCTGCAAATTCTATTTTACAGTACCCAATATTTTTAATTGAGTCATAAACAGCTACTGCCACCTATGACCCTACAGGCCCATTTTTCCTGGGTTTTATAAAGCTTCTAAGATTATAGATTATGGCCCCAAATCAGTGGAAAGGACTAACTAAAGTATATTTAAGTCTGTGTGATTATTTATTGAGGATGGGAATTTTTTTTGAATTGTGCACAGATCAGGCCTCTCAGTGCTGCTCAGAATTTAGCCATTAAAAAAGATACATTAATTGGAGAAGGTGTCTTTGCTGATACAGGCAGTCAATTTGCTTTTGATATGCAAATATTTGACCATTTTAAAATAGCAGCTATGGGGGGATGGAGGAGATTTCCTATAATGAGTGAAATAGCCCTTGATTTGACTTCTCACCATCAGTGTCTAGACAAAACAATTCAGTATTTTGTCTTTAAAAATGCAGATAAATAGTATCCAACAGAGTTTCCCTGGGGCAGCCTAGCCTTGCTTGGCTTAGTGAGATGAGAAGCTCAAAAGGGACCTACTCTGCAAAGTTGGTGTTTGCTTGCCACTGCAGGTAGTGGTGGGTGGATGAAGGGATCAATGCCCAAATGGTCCTCCCCCTTCTCCGTTGTGCTGTGGATAAAATTCTGCCAGGACCTACCAAGACTTTCAATGGTCAGCCTGCCAGCTGTGCTGCAGCTTATGGCTTGAGGTCAGGAAGGTGGGATGCAGCTCTGGAGCACCCAAGGCGCTTCAGTTTTTTCCATCACCTGTGAGTGTGCATATCCCTACCATAGTCCAGGATTTTGATTCTGCCCACCCATCCCTGAGGCCTGTCTGCACATAAGCCACCATGCCCACCACCTCAAAGTGCAAAAATGGGAGCTGTAGACTGAGGTGGGAATGTTAGACAGCAAACAAGAGCTCAAAGTGCCAAAATACAAAATGCAGGATTTTTTTCTCTATACCTTATCACAGAAATTCCTTATAACTCCAGATCTAAAAAATTTTAAATGTGCTTACAATTTAAATTTTAAAAACAAAAAGGTGAGTTTACTTCATGGTAGATTTCATTTGGCACAATATACCATTTGAAAATTTTTAAATTCTAATGAAGATGGAACTACCACAGCAGAGAGATAATGCAATCAAATGAAGACTAAAGAGTCCTTTGGAAAGATCTTTATACTGGACAATAAAAGCACACAGTCAAGGGCTAATTTTGGGTCAAAGATAAGCTTATATTTTTCCTGGAAATGCTCAATGGCATATCTGAGTGTCATAGGTTGCTGTCTGCCTGTATCGTGGATCCAAATCCAGAGGAGTTGATTCCACCTCTCCAAGAAGCTGATGCTTAGGCCTATGACAGC